ATAGTTCCCATATATTTTACAAGAGATGGCTGTGCTACCTTCCCTCACCTGTCACTCTTGTGACACGGCACGCACAGGCTTAAGCTGGGGATACCAGAGGGGGCAAGCTGCAGAGCCAGCTGTGACCCTGCAGAACGCAGGCCCCAGCTTCTGCCACTAAATCCCGCATCTTGACAAAACCACACTAYGGAGCATTACAATCCCTCCTTTTTATTTTCACTCCCTGAAAGTTCTTCAGCTACAGTGAAATTTATCAGGGAACTTAAATCTTAAACATTCCCCACATATTGCTGCATAAAGTGGATAATAAAGGAGAAAAGTTCAAAATATATTCCCAGAATTTAGTCACAAGACACCTGAAAAGTACTAAAGAAAAGAGATATCTATTACTTACAGAGCAATTCAGAATACAGCAGAGAAATTGAAGGCATCATAAAGAAAGGGTAAGAATCAATCATGACTTTGGATTACTCCCATAAAATTACCACCATGACTGAGAAGGAAAAAATAAATATGTATATCTGAACTTGGGTAGTGTTAACTGACGCACAGAAACACAGGGAAACTTTACATCCCTAATAAAAGGGCTCAAATACTCACAAATACATGTCAAATTTGCATGAATAATGCCCAAGTCAAACAAATATACTTAGAACTATTAAAATTGTTAATTTCATTAGGATCCAATGTAAAGCCTATAAACTTTGTCATATATTTCTTCTTAGAGTTTAGCATATTTTGTGTTACAATGCTGTTTCTTTTCYCTAATTCTTCATGCATGATTGATGAAATTGTATTAACAAGACTCCCATATGTGYCTTAAAGAAATGCAGAGACACATGCAATTCTAATCCCATCTCTTGCTGAATTCTCTGCTATAGCTGCAAGTGAGAAGTTTTGTTAAGTGCTCATGTTAGGATTTCAGTGTGAAATCTTCTGTTAATTCATGTCAAACAGGAAGATCCAGAGCTCTATATTTTTCAGATGCACTTTCTGAGGTATGAAATTCCAATTTCAAACTCATAAAATAATTTTTGCCTCTTAAACGCAGTGGTATTGTTTTGCCTGCWTTGCAGTTTGGCATATGCTCATCTACCTAATAGGTTGTTACAGCTGTTAAGTATTCATGAATACTGCCTTGAAGTATCCCTCCTTCCATACTATAATGGCTATATCTGTCAGTTGAACATTTAAATATACTTTTTTTTTTCTCCAAGTACCAATCAATTCATTCTCTTCTATATTTTCTCATGTTTCCCACGCTTCTGAGCCGTGGGGGATTTCCTACTCATCAAGGTTGCACAAAGGCTTTTAGAACCAGAGTCACTGACATTTTTCAGACTTTTGCAGGTGCCAATAGCACAGACAAAAGAAGAAACAAGACTTTCTACTGCTTGCTGTGCCATAAATGTGTATATTGCCTACAGGCTGCTCCCCTTGGATCAACCAGCTGCTGCAGTGAAGGAGTCTCAGTCTTTAGCTGAGAATTCACACTCCCTGTGCTAAGGACACAAGCATGGTACAGGTCRGTGTTTGGGGAGAATATTCTGAGCTTGAGCAACACCACCGATTGTCATGTTTGTACTGAAATCAGAATATATGATAAACCTCATTCAGCCAATTCCACTGATGCATGATTCCTTTGGAAAGAGAAAGGGATGGAAAAGCTGCACAGGGYAGTAGAACTCTATCGTGCCATCATTTCACACCTGTCTCAGGATGCAATTGCACTGGGGCAGAAGGTCGATGACCCAGGCCCAGCTGTCCAGCTTGAGCAAAACCAAGTCCCTTTTAATATTCTCTCTCTTCCTGCCCAAAAGTCATATTTAGGACTTAGTTATAACAGTGTGTCATCATTTTCATTCCTCTTCCCACCCTGCCCCCTGACATAATTATTCATTTATCTTTTGGATAAGAATAAATAATTTTCATATTAGGAAAAAATAAAAATTACTAGAAGCAGAAGATAAATTTATGACATTATGCCTGAGTCCCAAATRAATGGAACATGTTAAAACTTTAACAGGATTCATAACTGAAACACTTGCGTCATATTTTGGCTATAACAGCATGAATGGTTCTGTCACAGCAAGTTCTCATTAAGTGACACATGAACCATGATATTATCTGACCTACTATTTATTCACAGCAAGATATGGCATCTTCCTTTCACGTTTATATATTGCAGGATTCACTGCCACACAGAAGTCACACAAATAAAACCACTCTGAAAACTGAATTTTCCCYTAGCCACCATCACTCATGTCATTCATGTTCTTTTAGCTCCTGCCAACAGAAGCGCACARCTATTTACAGTGGCAGAGGGAGAAAGCCTTCCTGCTGGGCCRTATATTCCCACACTGCTGTAATCTGTCTTCAAACTGCTAAACCCATTCACACTCACTCTTGTCTACATCAGCTACTAACATCCCTCTAAACACTGTGTCTGCTTTCCTATAAATTTAATTCTTTACTTTTAAAAAGTGTGAAGATGACCCTCAGTGAATACATCAACAAAGAGACATCTTGCTGTTCTGGAATCGACTGAACTGGAACATTCCCACAGCATTCTGTAATCAAAGAAATGCAATTCTTTGACAGTCCTTTTTATGAAATTGTATCACTTCAGGTCAGAAGAAGTAAGTTCAGTCAGTCTGAAAACAGCCTCTGATTCAGCTTCAGTGCCCTGGCAGGCAGGAGGGCCACCCATGTCCTGGGGGGCATCAGGCACAGCATCACCAGCCGGGCAAGGGAGGGGATTGTCCCGCTCTGCTCTGACCTGGGGCGGCCTCACCTCCAGTGCTGGGGGCAGTTTTGGGTGCCACAAGGTAAGAAAGACATTAAACTGTTAGAGAGTGACCAAAGGAGGGCAACAAAGATGGTGAAGGGCCTTGAGGGGAAGCTGTGAGGAGCAGCTGAGGGCACTTGGTCTGTTCAGCCTGGARGAGACTGAGRKKAGACCTCAGTGCAGTTACAACTTCCTCATGAGGGGAAGAGGAGGGGCAGGCACTGATCTCTTCTCTGTGATGACCATTACAGGACCAAGGGAATGGCCTGGAGCTGTGTCAGGGGAGGCTTAGGCTAAGCCTAAGAGAAAAATTAGAGATAAATTCTTCCCCCAGAGGGTGGTTGGGCACTGGAAYAGGCTCCCCAGGGAACGGGTCACAGCACAGCCTGACAGAGTTCAAAAAGCTTTTGGACAATGCTCTTGGGCACGTGSTGTGACTCTTGGGGAGGGGCTGTGCAGGGCAGGGATTTGGACTCTACCCTTGTGGGTGCCTTACAATGCAGCTTTTTCTGGGATTCTTGATATCATACTACTGACCTCTGAATATGATTCCCAGGAAATCTTAGGAGAAAGTGTCCACAACTGCAACTTTAGACAAGGAACACATTAAAAAAAGAGACCTAACATACCCAGGTATTTCTATCAAAACAGATGTACTAATTGTTCTGTTTTTTACATAAAAGTATGCTCACAAGGATTTCCTATGGTCTTACAGCACACACAGATATTCTCAGGTTTTTTCCCTGCCTTGCCTTCAGTCATGTCCTATTCCTATTTCAGTGATCCCTTCAAGGACTGTAAGAATGTTATCTAAAGCAAGATATACTCCAATGCATCTATCTATTRCAGTAAAAATCCTATTGCAGGTTACTAACAATATTTTGATAATATATTAACTCTTCCAACACAGTTTGTACATTCAAGAACTAATGAACATAAATGGACCTTTTTACCTCTAGCAAGACATGAACTGCTGCAAAGAGTCACTGATCTTGGGACACAACACCAACTTCTTCCCAGGAAATCAAGATACAGGATGTTAGATTTCATAATCCAAAAACCAAGAACTCTAAAATATTGTAACCTAATTTTGACAGCTTAAGTGCAGAATTTATCTTTATCGTAGGGATCTCTGGTTAAATCCTTCAGTGTTTGTAAGATCTAATGGAGATCCTTGATGCTACAGTCTTGGAAACTGAGAGGAAAAAGACAATATACAATCATTTACACTATGAATGATAGTTCTTTTGAAGTCTATTTAGGATTACATGGGTAATAKGAGTAGTGGAGATGTAGTTCTTAACACTAAGTCTGGGGTAGAGTTACTCATGTTGTGAATGTACAGCCTGGGAATTTGGAAGCTTTAGTCTTTTTTTTTTTATTTTTTTTTTCATTTGTACCACACTCTTTTGCACTTTGAATTGCATTTTGAATTGTTTTTGCCCAAATACTGTTCTGTTCTGAATGGGAGGGCCTTTCACCTCAGCTCATAAGTGAAACCACTAGAATTCAAGCAGGATTTATTACTTTAAAGAAAACAAGACATGTCCTGGAGAGTTTTGGGGACACTTTTCTTCAGGCTTTGTACATGCTTGGGGCCKGCATCTTTACAAGAAATTAACATATTCCACCATCTACACAGCACTGTTTAGCCAGAATGCAATACATGAGTCAGTTCTATTTTCTGGTGTACCAGAACCATAGAAAAACCCTGTTAAATACACACTTGAGAGGTCTTTTCTTGATGCTTAAAAAACAGCTAATCATCATGTCTGACATCATACCCCCTTTGKTTTTTTTCAGTAAATCATAGGAAAGTGAATAAATTAATTAATGACCAAATTAGTGACACAGTCCAACACAATATTGTAAAAGCATTGATCATTTTTGCAAGCTTTTACTGAAAAATGTTTTTCCCTAAAAAACAAGAGAATTTTTCACTTTAACAAGCCTATACAGTTTATACTCAGAATAAACAACATCATATCCTTGTTAGCATTTGGTGGGAAACAAGATGTTTTAAACCTGCTTATTTTTTTTCATATTTATAGAATTCCCTTCACAAGTCCTACAGAAAATGCAGAGGCACTCWGAAGAATGAAACTTGACTTTTAGGTTTATTAGTGGAAGTATTTACATCGCAAATAGGTGAAAACCATGCAGCATTTCTTAGGGATTTTGTTTTGGCTGATTTTGTTTTACATGTACTCACACTCARTGCAGCTGGTCCTGGAGGTCCTGCATCTCCCTGGTTAAAACAGGAGAGGAAATAAATTACAATCTCTTCAGTAATACATATTTAACCTCTAGACCTTTTCRAGAATATGCAGCACTGCAGAAGTAATTTCAGTACAATCATCAAACATGTTGATTATGAAAATATGCAAGTAAAGTGATATTCTTCTCCAGAAATGGCATCGATATACACAGTTCACTACAGGTTAAAGGGAAAAAAAATGCCAGGCCTCTGCATAAATGAATCACAGCTTAAAAAAAGCAATCCTTCAAAACACATTTCCATATGTCAAGTTACAAGATGCAGCTTACATGCACAAGGTGGATGCTGAAGTCAGTGTGACAGCTCACATATGTAAAGACAWCTGACTGTGTAAATATTCACAGGATTAGGTCACTGAGGTACAAATCACATCTGAGACCTTCAGGTTTGGTTCATGGGAGCAAATTAGTGCACCCAGAGAGCATTTTAAAACACCAAATTTAGGTTCTTGCTCAGAACTCCTTTTAGAGTTTGTTGTGATAAAGCTTTCTTGTCTTTTGAATTTACTGGTAGTCAGCCTGTCCTCATATTCCTCAACTCTTCAGCTGCACAAATGGCAGCAGGGGGTGTTTGCCACACATAGTCATGGCAATGTGCTCAAAATTGAAGAATATCATACTCACTCACATATATATACATCTTCATAGATCAAAAAAGGTACCTTTTCTCCTTTTGGACCAGCCAGACCAGGACTACCAGGATCACCTTTTAGTCCCTGCGCGAGAAATGCATATTTCTTGTCATCAATAAAAAGCGTTGGACAAAATTCTATAGTACTGTGAATTAGTACATGCTAAACAAATAAATTAGTATATACTAAACAAATAAGACTTAAAATTCTATCCCTTTATTAGTACTATCTCAAAATTCTTTATTTTCATTACTTTGTGAACAGAAAAACATCTATYCAAGACCACCTGTCTTCAACATATAATTAAACATATGAAGCCAATCTACTTTATTGTACCTCATTATGGTAAGTAATGAGTAGAAATGCAAAGATCCTTTTCAGTCCCGGTAGGTTTTTGTCTTGTGTGGCCAACAAAGATAAAATTGAATACTAGACAAAGTGCTAGCACATTCACTTGAACACTGATAAAATTGGGAAAGAGGCAGAGGTGGCTRAAGAACTGCAGATTCTGTGTTTCAAGCAGCAGTGCTGAAATGGTGAGCTCCAGGAAGGTACAGCTCAGAGCTGCTGCACATCTTCCAACACTCTCATTTTCACCAGTGTTCAAAAAGGCAATTTAGAGCAGTAATCAATTCCTTCATACATCCTTTTTTACTTCTGCCTTTAGCTGGAGAAGCAAATAGCACTGCCTAGCCTTACACATTACACACACAGCCCACAGGATCAGAGTGGTTTGGGTTGGAAGGGAYTTCTAAGGAYCATCTGGTTCAACCTCCYSTGCAGCAAACAGGRWCATTGYCAATTGGATCAGGTTGTTCAGAGCCCTGTTCAACCCAATCTTGAATGTTTCCCGGGATGGGGCATCTGCAACCTCTCTGAGAAACCTTGCCCAGTTTTCACATTTTCATTGTAAAGTATTTTCTACTTACGCCTAGTCTGAACCCACCCTCTACAATATTTCTTATACAATTCTCYCCCCCAAGAAGTTCTCACCAGAAGCACCCAAAAAACCACCCGTAAAATATCTTTACTATCCAGTGCAAAATGTTTGTTGCCCTCTCCTTGCTGCAAAACAAATGGAAAAATRAGCGGTTTCATAGTATGGCCAGCAAATTCAAGCCATTCTATAGCAATGAATGAACTTAATTYTCATGTTAGGACAAACCTACCAGGAATTCACTTTTGCTTAAGCCAAGGGATTCGTTCTGTGCCTTCTTTTTGATCACTGCTTTAGTGGCATGAGAGACCATGCACACTGAAAGTCAGAGACACCTCTACAAGTTCAAAGATTGTACTGAGAAAAAAAGTGACAACAACAATAGGCAAAACAGGACTGAATCATAACAGGATACTCCACAAGTAGGCCACCACCATTATTATTCTGGAGGTTAAACAGGTCAAGGATAGAAAAGATTCATTYACATCTGAATTAGAGTTTACAAACTGAAGTTCTTCCCGCATCCCTTTTTGTCCTTGCAAACTCTCTTCCTCAGTTTGCAATTATTAGGAAGATAGAGACAACTGGCACAAAAATGGTAACTAACATCTGTGCCTTGGTGGGTACAGAAACATGAAATCAGTSAGTGTTCTAAATACTGCGTATTTGTGCAACTTCACTTCCTGCTAAAATTACATTAATTCACCATCTGGAAGGAACATCATTTAGAACTATATGAGCATTTAAGTACCCACTTTGGATTAAATTTGTGGTTGTTGTAAATACCCCTGATTTAGCTTTGATTTGTTCTTTATTARGCTTGCCAAATATGTAATAGTTAAATCAGAAGTAGTTTTGCTGTTTGAACTTAAAAAATGTAATAGGCAGATGGATTCAAAAACCAAGCCAAAAAATTGCTTTCTTTCTACAATCTGCATATTTATGACAGAGCTTTAATATTGTCTCCATTTGCTACATTTTACTTTACACCTCCTTCTGAAAGACTGCATAAAACACAACCAATCCATATTCTTAAAGCCATTTTAAGGAATTTTCAGGTATGCAAAGGATATGGATTTGGTTCAAAACCAATATTAGCAAACCAGCAGTGGAACAATAGTTACAAGTTTAAGAATTAGCTCTTAGGCTCTATRTTTACAGAAGACAGAAGATAAGGCTAAAAAAAAAAAATCTGCAACTCACAGATGGTGACATATATCTGTGTCTCCACTGAATAGAAAAGGCAACTGCAGATCAAAAATACTGAGCCTAAGCCATCCGTTTTCAAGATATGAACCACATTTTTTCCTAACTGCTGTGTTTAAGCTTTTAGTAGGGTTCCTGCAAGAGCATCTCAATGAGGTGAGCAGTCTGACAGCTACTGCAGAGGTGATGACCCCAGCAATTGACCTCGAATAAAAAGGACAAGGAGAAATTAYATGCTTTACAAGAAACCTTCCAGTGTTTGAAGGAGGATTTTTAAGGACCCAGTGTTACAGATGAATTAAAAGTATTTCTTGTTCTCCTACACATTATRTATGTATTAAAAAAATATTATAATGCTGGTAAGTTCCAGACACAGTGAATGCTTGCAAAAACCACATCTGGGATCGCACCATGCCTATTCTTCCCTACAGTCACCCTTTTGATGCTGCTGAGAGGTTGAGCTGCTGCTCGCTGTCCCTGAAATGCCACAGGAATTCCTGTGCCAAGTCAAAAGTGCAGCCCCTTTTAGCATRGTACTGTAGGGTATCCTGTCTCTGGGAGACCAGAACAGGATGCTTCAGTAAAATGAATGTGGTTATCCAAACAGATATAATTTGGATGATTTTAGACYAAGCCTTAAGTTAGAAAAGCTCATTTTCTGCAGTGTTGAAGGAGAACAAGGTCAGTTTTGAAAACAAACAAATTTCTATTGATCTAAGGAGTCTGTTACCAGTCTGCCAGGAATTCAAGAACAGATTAAAAATTCCAGCTGCTCTCAAAACAGGGAGTAAATTAATTGGGTATTGAATTCTATCCCAGTCTAATTCTAGCTTTTTGGGACTAATATAATAATATACATTTGTGAGTTCATGAACAGTCTTCAGCTGATTCGTTTTCTCATCTAAAAGGACAACAGCTTGGTCTTTTTACAGGTCACAATAAACTTACATTATGGCTCCTCTATGGAAGCCAAAAGGTAAAGTAAGCACTAGAATATGCATGTATAAGGCAAATTTAAAGTGTACTAGATAACAACACTGGAAATAGCAGAAATGAGAAATTTCATACATATATATAAAAATTAAGACTGATAACTACAACATGATTTCCAGCCAATAGAGAAATTAGTGGAACAAACCAGAGGACTCCATCCTCCAGCAGTTCCTTGCAGGAGCCAAATGTTGCCTACTGGAATCGCACCTATTTGTACAGCATAAACTGCACATATGTGGCAGCAGAAAATGTAGTAAGATTGCCATAATATTTTTAGGAGAACTGGTTTTTAACTCTAAAAGACACCCTTTGGGGAAAACTTCATTTGTTATTTGCAATTCCATGGCCTTCATTAGATTAATCTAGTTCAATGTCGCATCAGGTTGAAATCTCCTAGAAAAACATATATTATCTAATGTATTGAAATGTAGAACACAACCCAACATGAACAACAATGTGCAACTACATTATTATAGATCAGGTCGCTTATCTTGGAAACACTCCAACCACTAAGAACATATTCTTCTCAGAGCAGCCTTAAAATATTAGTTAACAACCTCTTCAAAGTCAGGCATTGTACAATGCCAACTTGTATATGTTGGGATAACTTTTCTCATTTAGCAAAATGTTTTCATAGCTACAAACAATACACATGTTTCAGTTTCTGTCTCATATACTTTTAAATATTGGCACTGCTATTTTCTCATTAATGGAATTCCAAAACTTCAAATTGGTACACTACTAGAATCTTGTACTACTTTTGTTCCTAACAGAATTCTCAGACTGTAAAAAAACATAATCACAAATTTCTTTTTCTCAAGCAATAGGATTCTTCCCTTCCTATCCACATATTTCCTTACAATGCTAATACTAAGAGAGTTTCAGTGATAAAGATTTTATTTTCATTTCAGTTCCACAGTCAGACATATGAATAAAAAAGAGAACTTATTCCACAGATAGTTTCACGGATATTTATATTGCAAATTTGTCCTTATTCCACACAGGATATGAGTGTTTTTATCAGTTTCTTTCAGACAGTTTATCTAGGAAGCTCCACTTGCTACAGTGATATAAATGACAGCATTATTACAGAATCACAGAATCATTAAAGTTGGAAAAGACTTCCAATATCAAGTCCAACCTTTCACTGATAACCAGTTAGCTTGATAATTAGCTTTCACTGATAATCAGTTAGCTGATAATTAGCTTGTCAGCTAAACCAGATAATTCGTTACTCCTCAGCTACAAAAAGTAGACAGGTCTCACACCCAACTGTAAACAAAATATCCAACTGAATGGGAAAGGGAAACCCCAACTGTAAACCAAAATATCCAAAAGAATGGTGAAGGGAAACAACATGTAATAAAATTACAGGATTATGTGGCAGCAACGTGCCCCCCGAGKTTAATGTCAAGTGGCTAAAAGAGTCTCCAGGGATGACAGAGACACATTCAAGAAAACTGGCTTTTCATCCTGTAAAGGCAAATACCTGCTTACAGACATGTACTACAGAAGCACTATATCAGTAATACACCAAGTTATTTATAACTACTCCTCAAGAAACTAAAAACACAATGGCAAACACATTAGTAGTATTTATAGAAAGTATTCATGTTGTCAGATGGATTTTGAATCATGTCCCAGGCTGGGACATGGCATTGTAGATCTTGGCTCAGATTACTGGACTGATAAACTGGGAATGTGTAGAACAGTTAAATATATTCACAGTTCCCACCTCCAAACCTGGTTCTCAATGAGATTAACTGAGCCACTTAGCACAACCAGTGAGAGAAGAGGGAATTAAAACTTTCTAGGTATATCATCACTGCAGCCTAGTTTACAAATCAGGTCTGGCTCTCCCTCTGTCATGTTACTTCTTTCTAGCAAGAACTTTCTGTATCGCTAAGAAAACACAAGTAGCAACAGCAAGCAAAAGTTTTCTGTGACACCTACTTTTCTGATTCTGATTAAAATACATTCAAATATGTTTCTACCATTTGTTCAAGATAAAATGTTCAGTCATCAACTTCAAGTTCTTGTGAGGATGGAAACCCTCACTCCCCCAGGCAGAGACAACAGCTGCCAGCAGGCAATGCCACCAGCTTTAAGCGTTTTTAGGCTTTCTTTATAGAGCACTGCAGATTACACCAATGTAAGTAGATTATTTCAGAAATATCAGATGTTATATTTCTGTATGCAGAGCAAGTCAGAGAGACTCTGATAGCAACCAGGAGTCAATGACACAGAGTCCAAGACTGGCATCTCCATGCAYAGTGATAACTGACTTTAAAGTATTTAACGTAAGTGTTGTTAAAAAGGAATCATGTGTGGATTCAAACAATACAATGTCATACTGYCATGTGCAGTTTTACTTCTGTTTTAATGTTTTAATGACAGTTCCCACAATAATAATAATAATAATAATCTACCATTTACTGACACATTACAACAGTTCAGTAAATATTTAAAAATATAAATGATCAGTAATTTTTACTTTCACAGTGCCACTATGTTAAATACGTCCTAGAGTTAATCAGATAYTTGGTATACCTTGCTCTTTCTAAAAGGTTGATGGAACAAGATCTCATGTAGTAAAGGAGATCATGTAAGACCAACATAGAAATGTCACCAGAGCTATGGAAAGAACCACAGATGTGTTTTTTCCATGCTGTCAGCATATATCCATGCATGAGAGAAGTATATGGTTCACCTTTACAGACAGGCAGGCTACAAGAGAATACCTCTTCAAATACCTAAATGTAGTTTCAGTTTAGTACACAGTGTATGTTCTCACATAAAGGACATCCACTGTTACTTAAAAATAGCCTGATTGAGCCAGCATTAAAATATAATAACCTAGAAGAGGGAAAATATTTTTATGGTTACAGTGTGTGCAGAAAGCCAGGTGATGTAAAAAGTGTTATGATTATGCAGTTTGTTCTACTGCATTTTCAGTAGACTCAGCTAGACTGCCATAGAATTTGCTGACCCTTTTATTCTTTTGGTAAAGATCTTTAAACAAGTATTGCTGAATGTTTTTTTCCAAATCTTGTATGGATTCTAGTCCTAATGTCAGACACTCCCCATCTGCAAGATGCTCTCYGCCTTCAACAATGCACTGCAACCAGAGAGCCAAGAGCATCCACCATTAAAATCTAAAGCCAGGGTAASCCCCAGAAGGAGAACAACAGGAAGAGGGTTTAAAGAAAACAGCTTGCTTGTCTTTATTATTATGGCTTTAAAAATCTTTCTTTTTGAAATCATGCTGGTTGTCTATTTTAGTATTTAATTGAAAAAAAAATCTGATTTTTTCCCTTTCATCTTGGTTTCATATATACAAAAATAAATGAAAATTTAAGAATAGGCAAAAGTAAGATTTATTTTATAGTCACACCTACAGTGCAGGCACAGGTTCAAACTTGAATGTGAACTCAGTCATCAGGATTATCCAGTATTCTTAGATACAGATTTATGCTACCTTAAATATGGACCAGTCCAATTAACTATGTAGGCAGTCAAATCTGGCAGTGAAAAAAAATTTAAATTTTGATTCTATCACAAGAGACACATGGCACAGTGGCACAGAGCCACCCAGAAGAGGCTAACAGCTTGTGTATTTTCTTTGTCAGAAACCAAAGCTACCAAASCATAGCTTTACCCTGCCTGTAAAAATACCATTTTTTTCCCAGCAGATTATCTAACAAGGAATGAGTCTCATCTATATTATGTTTAATCCCCATACTCACTTCAGTTTATCGCATGAGTCATCAGCAGAAATATCATGGAACTTACCAGATYCTTACCCACACCCCTCCTAACATGAAGCCCTAAGAAATCCTGTGTCACATGAATGCATCTCTTCTTCCCAAAACATCTTGTGGATGTTAAATCTCCAGGCACAGACAATTTCTAAATCCATCACTCTCCTTACAAAAAGTCTGAATCACATTTCTTAACTATCCACCSAGAAGTTTGTTGCTTGACTGTTTCATTATCGTTCTGTTTACCTCTGTTCCTTGAAGGCCTTCTGGTCCTGGTTCTCCTTTATCTCCTTTTTCACCCTAAAAGAATGAATATTTATTTTATTATATATACTCAAGGCAAATACTAACCCATGGTGCTTTTTAACAGGAAAAGTATTTTACCACTGTGGTTTGTTCTACAGATATATTGCTGGTTGCACAAGCAAAACAATKTCTTACATTCCAACAGAAATTCTTTACAAATAAATATCTGTGAAAAAAGTCTAGCACACAGATAGATACAGTTCTCTATACTTCATAGTGTCATTGAACAACCATAAAGACTCACCACAGAAGAAAAACAGTCTTGTTTCTTGCTGTATTTCAAGAATGTGGTGGTAAAACAGAAATTTATACCAGGGAATTTAGTTTTTGAAAATCATAATCTTGATATTACAGTATTTTTTTTTATTCTGAGACTCAATTTTGTTTTCAGATACTTAAAATAAATGTTTATTTTAAAAGTCCTCAATATTGTCATCTGCCTTTGACTCATGCTGGTATATGGCTCACTGTTTGCATTTGAAGAATGGAAACAATTTTCRTTCTGAAAATTTTCTTAGAAGTATGAATATGAACAACATTATTAWTCAAAAGAAAAAAAATGGTTAGAAGGTTCCTTCAGAATTGACTATAGCTGGTTCCTGAGTTTAGTCATGAAACACTGACTGCAAAATACAATATTCTTTGTAGCATACATGAAAGAATTCAGTTCCATATTGACTCCAACAACCATGCTATTCTAGTTAACACATGTTTCATCAAAGTAAATAAAATACACCTAATGTAAATAATGCTAAAGAAGCATATTTAAGGGAAAAATCTCTTCCACAAGCAACTAGCTAAAAAGCTCTATAACTGCATCTCTGTTCCTCAACTGGTGTTTGTAAAATCATAATAAATAATCATAAAGTAACATAATTCTGATAGAAGTGCAAGGATTGAATTTTAATTAGAGTCCAAGCTCTTCATATGAACCAAAGAAAATAAAAATATCTTCATTGAMTTTCCATTATCTCCAGGGGACTACATTTGTCTGAGCAGAACCTATTCATTATATCAGCATCATCTTCATAATTCTGTTAGGTAAATGGCATTGAGCTGAGATCATTCAGCTAACTCCATTTGTGACACAGCCCTGATTCGAAACTATTCCTCCAGTGGCAATGACAGAGGGCATTTCATCTAATAATCAATTTTGCAAAATGAGTTTGTATGAGCTTTACTGGACAACTGAAGCCTACCAACAAATTAGCAGCAGCAAACTGTGAATTTAATAATCCCACTCACAAGATGGCTTTGCTGGTTCATTGTTTCCATTTTAATACATCTTGTTGGTAAGAAACTTAATGCTACACACATTAGCTTGAATCATAGTGTTCAGGCTTTCCCTCAAGTATTCTCTTTCTTGCTGGTCAACCCCCCCAAAAAAACCCCACCAGATAAATCTGCATTTACCGCAAAATTCAAATGACACCAAACAGTTACAGGAATTTAACAATTATTATTTTAGTATGTTTAAACTATAGAGTCCTCTTTGTTCTATGGATTAAGACACTGGTTAAGATAATAATTTTCTTTCACTGTCAGTTAAAAAAAAAGCCAGCTGAAATCCCAAGCGTATGACTCTTTTTAAATAGCGCACTTAAACTTTTAGAAGAACTGCAAAAATGACATTTTACTTTTCATCACTGTGACACACTGAACATTTAACACTGCTTTTGGGATATTTCAACTAGTAGCAGTTACACTGCCACAATCTTGCAACAGTTATAAAGGCACAATCATATATTTGACACCTATCTCCTCATCTGAATATATTTCTAGAAGATTTACAAATCATTTCAATTTATGGAACAGKTTTTTTTTCTGTGGCTTGTGTATCTGCTTTCACATTTTAAGAAAAAATGATGCAAATATGTACAGACTTGCTTCAGAAGTAATAGCATCCTTTAAATGCCTTCATGCACAGGTRAAAACCTAAGGTAAGAGCATCTTGTCAAAATCTGTTATGCAATGTCTCCATTGACAAAAAAAGCTAAACAGAGAGTCTAACTAAAAGATGACTGTCCCCTCACCCTCCCTGATCATTTGCCTCGATGTGATTGGAGCAGGATGTGCTGGTGGAGGTGCCTTTTCCTCTACAGCAGACAGACAGTAACTTCAAAACGCCACCAGGCAGCTCTGGATACACACAAGTGTGACTGGTGAATGCAGGGAAGAAAGAAACCTCCCTTTCCTTATGATTTACACAATATTTGCATTTAAGATGTTTCTCAGCTTCTTCGACAAAATGACAAAAAGCACCCCCTGTTAATGTGCCTTGGACCTCTGCAGAGTCCATGGCTTTCTGCCAGGTGTGAGACTTTGCTATGAACATATTCTGATTTTTTAATGGAGTACACAATTTGTACTTGCCAAGCCTGTTGTATGGTATGTCTGTGTTCTCAGTGAAGCCAGAATTCAAACCAAGCAGAGGTCCAATTTTAACAATTTATTCTCACGAGAACTAAGCCAAGTCATGCTCATTTCTGTCTTTATGGAGCACACTATACTGCATAATTAACAGCTTCAACTCCAGCCAATTTGCAGAGTTGATGAAGCCACTCTGCAGTGTAGAGGAGGCTGGTAATAATCAACACTGTGGCTTTGTGGCATTGTACCTTAAAGATTAACAAAAAAGAGAGAAACGTRTTAATTTTGTTTTATATGAAATGCYCCTGCCTGCTTATACTACATTCAGATGAGACAATTAAAAACTATTTATTGCAAAAACAGGATGAAAAAACTCTGAAAGTGTCAAGCCTTTTTTATTAGTTAACTAAAACCAACCCAATGTAACACTGAATTATTTGTATTTCTTCGGGTGAATCCTGCATTCCATTACCCTGATAGAACAAGCTGATGGGGTTGCTCCAGAATAAGTGCTGGGAGGGATTCAGTCTGCTGTATGTAATCGTGGATGCATTGAATTCAGTGATAGCATTCTTTAATTAGAGCCAGGGGTTCATCCACAGCCTCTGCAAGATGAGAGCACCAGCCTCCAACTCACTGTCCACCAAGACTGCCTCATTCTCCTTGCCCGCTATTTCCCCCAKGTTAGAAAGGCAAAGTATTTGTAAATACAATACATTAATACCTAAATCTGACCTAAAAAGATAAAAATTTATCTGCAACATTACCCTGTTAATGGTATGAATCAAAAATTCCTGGTATCATCTCTGGGAGCAATTTTAATGTGCCATTGTTAACACTTGCTGAATTCCTCTCTGAAGTATGCAAGCTATATAACATCACTAAGTCAGTGCAGACACCTTGTACTTTTTAATCTCTGAAACTCCACGATTTCACCTACATATCTTTAAGACAGTTATGAACTGTTATTTTATTAATACATTTTTGTGTAATGCTACAGCTCTGTCTCAGCAGAATGCTCTACTTGAATTTTCTTTTCTTGCAACCATTTCTCCATAGTTTCTTTTAAACTGATCTCARCTCATAACAATGCTTATTGATTTTTCTTGAGAAAGTTATCAATTAAAAAAATCTAAATCTTCAGTTAAAAAACACCCAACCTTTGTTTCTTTTTGATTTTCTGATAGATGTCAGAAGATGTGCACCCCAACAATATTCTTACTGTCAGACCTGTAAATCTTCAGATCATTAGACAGTATGCTTTAGGAAAGCAGCAAACAGAGAGTAAGAACCTCAGGACTGCTGAGACACTGTACCATGTAAAAGGAGCAGAAAACAAAGCAAACTAATGATTTTGCTTCAGTTCAGACTGGGAAGAATTATACAAGAAAAYGTAAGAGTGATTCAAGAAGCTCATTATCAAACAGGCTGTAGCTCTGCAGTACATAAGAATATTTCCTAAGCAGGGTCAGAAAGAGATAGCACGATACACTGCAGAAACACTCTTCTAGAAAATTAAAATCAACAGCAATCATTAGGAAGGATGTCACCTTGAAGCCTGTGTCTTCCCAAGCCCCCTTATTTAGGATACTCAGAAAAAGAAATAAACCAGATCACAAAATTTCAAAGGGATCAGACAGCTCACTAGATACACTTATCAAGAAAAAAAATGACCAAAACCCTTCTGATTCAAAATTGTTCCACCACTGTCTTGTGAAAGAGTCCTAAACAAATGTTATGCCTGAACACACTGGATACCAAGTCAGGAGAATGATCTTTTCTTCCYGCTCTTTTTATGTTAGACTGAGCAATACTGAAAATATTCAAAATAGCTAATTACTGCTTGGTGTCACGTGTCACATTCCATGCATCACAAGCAGGCTCTAACATTTCTAACCAGAGAGAAAGGCAAATCACCACCTCAGCTGAGGGCAAAACCTTAGGCACAGGACAATCTGAATCTAAACCAGCCCAAGGCTCCAAAGCTGCACCAATGAACTGCCTTCTTCTGCCAGCAGGAATGAGGCAGCCATCCATTTGAATTCTTTGTAGAAAAATCTTAAAATGCAAAATTATTTGGATCAATTAGAACATCAATCAAAAAAAGAAAAAAAACAGCCTAAAAAAATCCAACTCAAACCCACATCCAATAAAAGTTTTAGTGTAGGGCTCTCCAAATGGAGAAATCTAACGCCTAAAAACCAAGAATAAGCCCTGTAGCAGTACTGCAGAAAAGCATCTTGGTATTGCTATGGATCATACAGTGCACGGAAATCTATAACATAAAGACATTCTTAAAAGGCTAAACTCCATTCTCCATTTGTCAAATGCAATTTGAAAAAAACCTTAAATATTCTAGATTACTTGCCACTGATGAGAACAGTGAAAAACAGTTAGTGCTGCTAGGTCAGGGCATCATATTTTCTGCTCTTCCCCAAAGTAGAATGATGGAAAGGGTGAAAAAAAAAAGTTAGGACAAACAAATGAACACAGGAGATGCTGATGGATCTCAAATATGGGAGAAAATGCTATAAATGGGACATCAATGTTTACATACTGCCAATATAAATAATAGATTTCACTTGTAGCCAAAAGGAATTTTAAGGTATGGGAGATCAAATTTG